GGGGATTCAGGGAGAAATTGAATCAGTGAGCTGGAAAGTGTCCGTGACCCCTGAGAAAATGTAGTATCACACATACACAAAGCGAAATATGACCAGTTCACATCTTGGAGCGTGATTATGGTGTCAAGCTGGTTCTGAGGCAGAGAAACACAATAGATGTGCCACACTACCTTAACTAAGAGCAGGGTAAGGGATTCTCAGCGGTTCTGTATTCGCTGCTCACTGTGTTAAGTTCTTTTGTTCTTACTGTGCTGCATGGAGCACATGATGTAAATTTAAGGCCCATAAATTATATTTTAAAGGGTATTCAATAGAATCAGTAGTGACCCCCTTAGCAAAATGCATGCGAATCCTCAGGTGCAGGTAAAATGGCTTTTCTTTCGTAGTTATATTATTTGTGCTTGTCTCAGATGCATTATGAGGATTGTGGGTAATATTAACTGAAATATATAACATGGCATGATGGGTAAAAATCCCCTTTGTGGGTTTTGGAAATATGGTGTTGATTATTATAAGGAAATGTTCCCTTTTCACAAAGTTTATGATGATCAGGGAAAAAAAAATGTAAAGGAATTGAGAGTCACTGCTGTGCATCACAAGCCCCAGCCCCCGAGCCCAGGAGAGCGGCGGCAGTGTGTGCTTAGAACAGCGGCTCGCAAACACAAACCGAAAAGTCAGGAGATGAAGACATTCAACCTGGAAGAGAATTCAGAAAGCCCACTCGAGGACTGTCTAAAATTCCCCCAAAAAAGGATTTTCTGAGGCTATGTAACATTTTCTGCGAGTTATTTTTAGATTACTGAAAATTGGATGGCTGTATCTTCTGAAAAAGGAGAAAAACCTGCAACAGTTGAAACACAGTCCTTTCTCCAGCTGAGTATAGTGCTGCATTTCTTCCACCGTTTCCACAGTTTCAGCCGTCTGTAGCCCCTTCCGGGAAGAGCAGTGTGTATAGCTGGGTACACCCTGGACATGCCTGCTGACACTCCACAGACTGTATGGTGACGATGCAGACCACACCTCTTTAATAACAGCTTTCTATGTTATGGCACATCCAGTCTATTTGACTGTCAATTTCCTATGTGCAGTAATGAGTAGTTTACTACTAGTATTCAATTCCCTTCCCACATAATGACATTATTTCTTACAGGTGAGGAAATTTAGTGTCAGGAGAATGTTACAGTACCATTAACAAAATAATGTAAAGGACACAGCAACAATAATAATATAGAGATCATTGGTAATGTAATTTTGTAATCGATTATGCGGATTACCTGAGCAGTGTGGTTTTGCTTTTATTTACGTTGCGATTTCTTGGAACAAACAGATGATGAGGCAAAGACCCAATGCTCCCCCGGGTAACTTATGACAATTTAATATCCTCCCAGAAAATAATAACCCACTTTGTTCAATCTGTCAGCATAACGATGATTGGTTATGAGTGGTTGTAATATTCCCGATCATATACTTATGTGATTTATGTTATTGCCGAGCGCTCCATGATACGGTTTGGTCGTAAGTCACTATGCAAGACGACCTTTTGTTTATACAGTGTCTAGGAAATTGCCTTGTTCACATCGACAGCTCTGTGTCCTAACGCACCAACAATACATGTAATACCTACAAATGCACGCACACATTGGAACAATATTACAAGGGTAAAATTAAAATCCCTTGCTGTTGGTCTTAGCTGTTGTGGAGGATTGGTTTTTGAATTTCGGGGGAAAATGTCGTGGGGTGGTGGCG